TAGTTCAGCATCTGACTTAAATCATTTTGTTCTAATAAAGGAAGACTTAAGCCCGGATACAACCTGCGTCAGAAACTGAAGATTTGGGGATCCCTGGGTGGCTCAGCAGTTTAGTGCCTGCCTTCGGCCCAAGGCGTGATCCTGGAGTCCCGCGATCCGGTCGAGTCCCGATTGAGTCCCACATCGGGCTCCCTGCATTGGAGCCTGCTTCTCTCTCTGTCTGTGTCTCTGCCTCTCTCTTTCTCTCTCATGAATAAATAAATATTTAAAAAAAAATTGAAGATTTTAATAACCTGACCAAGCAATGAGAAATGCTAAATGAGCTCCTAAGAAATAAAACAGTTAACAATTAATAAGTATCCAGTGATCTGTATGCTAGATATTATAAAAAATATAGAAAACTCCACAGGCATAAGGTCTAACCTCCCAGAATTATCTATACGGTGAGAAAACAAAAAACAAAAGAATATAAGCAAGTTAAAACAAGTGCTGAGCAATCAAAAGAAATGAAGATTAAAGGTGGTTAATAAAAATGACTTCTTAAGCACCACTAAATCTTGAAACAAAACAGGTGAGCATGGAAAAAAAAAAAAGTAGCAGTCAAGGATACTAACCTCAACCATTTGGACCAAAGATGGATGTAGAGAGCTAGTATGAGATTTTCTTTTTCCTCAAGCCTTAATTTCTTTTTCAGGACTATATATATTTAACTCCACTTGACAAGTTGGCCTATACTCTATAGAAAATTAAGTTAAATCACAGTATATGAAAAAACAACAGAACTACAAAATAAGACCTGATAAATCTTGTTTTTAACTCTTCTTAATCGTCCTAAGAAAATACTACCAGCTAATGAATTACATGAGAACTATTTAAGTACAAAATATATATTTATTACATATAACTTTAATTGAAACCTCAACTTTCACTAAATCTATTTTTTTAAAGATTTATTTATTTACTTATTTATGATAGACATAGAGAGAGAGAGAGAGAGGGTGGGGGGGCAGAGACACAGGAGGAGAGAGAAGCAGGCTCCATGCCGGGAGCCCGACGTGGGACTCGATCATGGGACTCCAGGATCGTGCCCTGGGCCAAAGGAAGGCGCTAAACCGCTGAGCCACCCAGGGATCCCCACTAAATCTATTTTTTATAACTGTGGCAAAATAGGGATCCCTGGGTGGTGCAGCGGTTTGGCGCCTGCCTCTGGCCCAGGGCGCGATCCTGGAGACCCGGGATCGAATCCCACGTCGGGCTCCCGGTGCATGGAGCCTGCTTCTCCCTCTGCCTATGTCTCTGCCTCTCTCTCTCTCTCTCTCTGGGTGACTATCATAAATAAATAAAAAAAAATTAAAAAAAAAAAAAAAAAAAAATAACTGTGGCAAAATAGATTTAAGATTCGTCTCTTCCATGAAACCAATCACCAACCTAGAGTAATATACAAGCATATTTCCATCTAGTAAAGTATGTATGCTTCTGCCTACTTTTTCTGCTGGTGGTTTTACCTTTCTTTGACCTAATTCTCTTCCCTCACCCACTCACTAAACCTAAGGGGAATGAAATCCTGCTAAAGGCTAATTGTCCTGGAATTCCTATCAATAGTGCCTTAATTTAGGCCTTCATATCTTATGTGCACTATTGTGAAATTACTTGATCTCCTTTGTCTCCACTCTTACAACCTCAATCCACCTTCTATAGTGCCTTCATCTTTCTCCAAAACTTTCTAAAAGCTGTATCTGATCTTGCGCACTAACTAGTGCAATACTTCCTCAACTGTATCTCTTATACCTATGAAATATACACCAATATCTTAATGGGTTAGAGAAAGTCTGTACTAAAAAAAAACAAAAAAAAAAACAACCTTTGTTTTAGTTTAACCTTAACTCACAAAATGTACACCTAAGATTGAAGGGAAACATATAAATATTTCAAATGTGTTTCAAGACTACCCTATCAGAAAACAGTAAACTTCAGTTAACTTCATATATGCTAAAGTCTCCTGTTAATAAGCTTGCTAAAAATAGAAATGCCCAAGTTCCAACTCAAACCCACTGAATATTATCTAAGAATTCAGGCTAGCAATATTTGTAATCTCCACAATGTTTCTAATGCATATCTAAGTTTGAGAACCCAAGCAGATACCTCTGTTGCTCCATAACTACTTGTAGGCCCCCAACTTTCCAAGCTATTTCATTCCTCTCATCATAATCTTAAATATTCAGGTATCACCCATCCTAAAACACTTCTCATCCTCTCTCAATCTCCTAAACTTTTGTGAAAAATAGCAACATCCATATATTTACCATAAAGTCCTTCTAATCCACAAAATTAGCCCATAATATCTCTATTTTAGAAATACGAAAACCAATTCTACTATAGGAAGTAAAACAAAAAGAAAAACAAAAGAAAAACTTGTCCTAAGTGACCAAATGAGTTGGAACTCTGGCAGGCTGACTACAAAGCCAAGATGTTTTACATTGTGACATGCAGCCTCTTACACATTACTCTGAAGCACTTACTCATCAGTTTACATATTTGTTTCCCTTTTTAGACCTAGTAAGTTCCTTGAGGGTAGGCATCAACCCTGATTTTGACCTCAACATTTAGTTACTCAATAGTGTTGAGTCAAAGAAGGAATGCAGCTCCTCCAGAACTGGGACTGTAACTATTTGTTTCATTTCTTGAACTCTTAGGGCTCTGAATATACTTCTGTCCTAACAAATTCCGGTCGGACTTGTAAGTGTTATTGCAGATGTTTTTAATGAGATAATGTATTTCACTATAATTTTAAACTACAAAAAGTGGCATAGTCAGCAAAGAAAAAAAGGATTTTTCAAAACAAAATAGTCTTTACTCTCAAGTAACTGGAGACTTCAAATATTAATCTTCACAACAATTTCATACCACAAGAGTGTGGTTTTAAATGCCAAATTCAAAAGGTAAAGGTGATTAATAATAGATGACATAAAGATACTGAGCACTGAATACTGATGGCTTATTCAGCAATCCACTTATGCTAACCAGAAAGCAAGGCTATCTTTCTCACAGTATTCTCTCATTTTTCTGAAACCAGTAAACATTACAGGTAAGCATAGAGCAATTAGTCAGTGTACTAGTGTTTGAATATAATGTCCTTCCTGCCTAAGCTTAATGTGTCTGGTATGTAAAACGTAAAACAACTATTTCCTCTCTGATACAGATCATATAGCAAATGAAACTAAAACAACAAAATTTTAATTTTTTTTTCATTTGCAGATATTGTAACAGTTTAAAGAGCTGGAGATTTTCCTAAATCGAAAATATACAAAAATTAGTGCTGCTTTAAGAATCTCACACACTAATTATATCAAGTTTTGGTGGAAAAAAAAAAACCTGATTATTCCTTTTGCACCACTTTTTGGAATAAATCAATAACAAGTAAGAAAAAAACCCTTCTAAAACAACATGATGTAGTGGAAACTACAGCAGACTAGGCATCCAAAGTCCTGGCTTTCTAGTTCTGGTTACACTACTAAACTGCTGTGTGACTTGGGGTTCACAGGCTCAGTTTTCTCATTTGTTCAAAAGCGAGGGAGGGAGGGGACACGGACACACACGACAGTTGATTGTCTTTAAAACTGTTGCCCAAAATTTTGATTTTAAGCCAGTCCTCTTATTTCATTCTTCTAATCAGTACAATACGAGACACATCTGAATTGAAGGTAATGATTCAATCTCCAAGAGGATACAAAAAGGCTGACTCCTATAAAGTTAACAATTAACCCATCGAGTAACTTTCCAGAAATTGTCTATCCTAACTTCTTAAACAAACAGATAGATGTAGCCTAGTTTGACATATTTAACACTACTAAGAGAAGCTGTAAAATGGTACTGCTCTGTTGACATTTCAGTAGGGGTTTCCTGGTTTCCAGTGGCACATACTATGCAGGTGCTAAGACGCAGAGAGGGGAGACAGGGACCCAAACAGCATTTCAGCAAACTCGACTACAGTTCAACGGAGCCACCGCAGTAAGATGCAGCCAGACGAGGCCTACACCACAGAGCAGAACCTCCCCACCCCCAGAAGTGCCAGCAGCCAATGTAATGAATGCTTCCGTCAACAACACACATTCCCCTTCCCACAGCAGAACTGCTAGCTCCCAACCGGCCATCTGGGGTTGGAACAGGCCGCACAGCACCAACCTAAGAATCACTCTCAGGCCCCAAAAGGCCACGAACTACTAGAGACTGTGGTTCCCCTGCGCATGGTCGTGGGGAGAGCAGCACCTCCTCCCACCAATGAAGGGTTTAAAAAAAAAAAAAAAATCAGTGGGGAGGAGAGCAGAAACCAGGCCTGGTGAGGCTGCTGGAGGGAAAAAAAAAAAAACACAAAAAACACAAAAAACACACACACAAAAAAAAACGCTGTTTCTCTGCAGTGGGGAGCAGCAACATTCCCTGCCCTCATTCTGAACCGATGCAATCGACTTCATTTCCTCCTGGGATCCTAAACGGGGATCAAAAACCCCCATTCTGGCCCGCTCCATTCATATCCGGGCTTCATTCCCCGATCTACCCACTTCTGAAACCTCTGCCATTGTGAAAGAAGGTGGCCTCTCCCCACCCCCAGATCAAGCGGCAGGAGGTGAAACAAGGGCCAGTACAGACGCCCGGTTTTTAAGATCCAGCAGCTCGTGCAGGAATAAAATCTCCTCTTGGCCTGAGAGCAAAGTTTGAGCCAGCAGCAAGGGCGCAGACCTGGGCCCGGCCAGGAGGGGTTCCAGGGCGGGCCTGCGGAGGTGACACTTCCCTGCTCACGGTCAGCTTCGGGAGGCGGGGTGCGGCGGCGCCGGCCCGCACCGCCCGCACCCGCCGCGCCGGGCTGGCTGGAGGCCTGGCCGGCGGCCGGCCGGACCCTCCCCGCGCCGCTCCCGCCTTCGTCCCCGCTCCCGCTTCCCGGCCCTCGTGCCCGGGCCCGTGAGGGATCGTCGGGGATGGCGACGCGGGTCTCGGCCACTGACCACACATTTCTTGCCGAGGAAGGTGAAGAGAGACTCATTCTCCTGCGGGGTGAGCAGCAAGGACCCCACGTTGGTGACCCTCCGCGGCGGCGGCGGCTGCTGCTGGCCCGAGCTCATGGTTTCGCCGGCGGGGCCGAGCGTCCGGGCCGTCTCCGGCGAGCAGGCGAGCGCTCTCTCCCGTCTCGGTGACAGGGGTGGGAGGAGGGGAATCAGAGGCGCAGCATCTCGCAGCTCCTCGGGCGCGGGGAGGGGGAGGAGGAGGAGGAGGAGGCCGCGGGAAGGAGGAGCCAACGACGGGCCGCGCAAAGAAAGGGAAGCTCCCGGCTCCCGCCCGGCGAGTCCCAGGCCGGATGGTCGTTGTCCTCGTACTCGGGCGACTGCGCTAAACTCCCAACTCCTCCTCCAACCCTCCTCCCGCGGCGGCGGCGGCGGCGGCGGCGGCGGCGGCGGCGGTGGCGGCCGCACAATCCAACATGGCTGCGGGGGCGGACGAGACCACAGGACGCAGGACGCGGGGGAGCGCGCCGGAAACGCGCGGCTGCGGGCCGGGCCCGGGAGAAGCGCCCCCCCCCTCCACGCCGCGGCCGGCCTACCGCGCCGGCCCAGGCCCCGCCCGCTTCCGGCCGGGGCGCGGGCGGCGAGGCGAGGCGCGGGCGCGGGGCGCGGGCGGGGGCGGGGATCGCGCGTGCGGGCCCCTGCTCCCGGGCTCGTTTCTGCGGGGCTTGGGCCGGGCGGCAGCCGTCTGCCAAAAACAGAAGTGGCCCGCGCGAGTTCCGCGGACGCACACCTTTGCGGAGCGCTTGTGCGGCCCCAGGTCCGCCCTTCCCCGGAATGGCTCTTATTTGTGGGGCGCAGAAGCCGGACGTTCTTGCTGCAGGTCTAAAGATCTGGAGACGGAAGACGGGAAAGCAGTGACGCGCTCCCCTGTGCCCCGGGGTCGGAGCTGCAGGTGCCTGGGGTTTCTCGAACTTTGCGCAAACTTCAGCAGTGGGTGTAGAGGGACGCGCAGGCCTCTCTCCCGGTGTGTGGAAGAGCTTGCTGATGGACGCTAACAAAAACCAAACGCGCTTAGAATTTTCTACCGCTCGCCTGGAGTGTTGCGTGGGATGAGTGTATTGAGAACCTGTAAATTCAGGCGCTTTTCTCTGGAGTGCCCTGAACACGTTTTTCCCCATCTTGAAGATTGGAAAATATTCTCCCCCCCCCCACCTTCTCATCTTTCTATTCCTATTTAATAAAGGTGTAGTATAGAGATAACTAAACCTACTTCTAAGTAGTAGAATTTACCTGGAAAGCATATGTGAAATACCTGATAGACGGTGGTTACTCAAACATTACTTGCTCTATAGTCCTTATCTTCCCTTTGCCTATGGTTTGCTTCCCTTCCCTTAGCTAAGGATCAAAAGTGGAGTTGAAATGTGTATTTTTTGTCTTTGTGCTATCTAAGCATGAAATTTCAAAAAACTGTAGCATTTAGAACTCTGTATTTCTTCAAATGTATAGTGGTAAATTGGGGGCATAATTTCTTAGCAGAATTTCTACTTAGGCTATATAGGATGCCGCATGGACTATATATGTCCTATAATGTCAAAATTACAAAACTTTTAAAGACTATAAATCTAGAGACAATCATTTGTTCCTAATACTATCTTTATAATATTAAATACTATTTTATATTATTTTCTTTCTTTTCTTTTTTCTTTTCTTTCTTTTCTTTTCTTTTCTTTCTTCTTAGGATTTTATTTATTTGTTCATGACAGACACAGAGAGAGAGAGAAGCAGAGACACAGGCAGAGGGAGGAGCAGGCTCCATGCAGGGAGCCCGACGTGGGACTCGATCCTGGGTCTCCAGGATCACACCCCCCGCTGAAGGCCGCGCTAAAGCACTGAGCCACCGGGGCTGCCCCATATTATTTTCTTTTCTTTTTTTTTTTTTTTAAATTTTTTATTTACTTATGATAGGCACACAGTGAGAGAGAGAGAGGCAGAGACACAGGCAGAGGGAGAAGCAGGCTCCATGCACCGGGAGCCCGACGTGGGATTCGATCCGGGGTCTCCAGGATCGCGCCCTGGGCCAAAGGCAGGCGCCAAACCGCTGCACCACCCAGGGATCCCCATATTATATTTTCTAATACTAATTTTGTTCGTTAGTAAAAACTGAAAGGCAGCGGTTTTTATGCTAGAATGCCAGCTTTTAAAAGCTTATAAACAACCCAACTATTTTGAAGATGGGAGACACATGGAAGAGAGCTACAGGAAAAAGCAGGAAACATGGGAAGCTAGTTGAGGGGACAGCAGCTGTGAGCTAACTATTGGGTTCCAATCATTTCACAACCTCTTGTTAGCTTAGACTATGTATTGTTTCAATTGCTTTTTTTTTTTTCTTTCAGGAGATATTAAATGACTTATCTATTTCTTATCTATTTCTAGGTGCAGTTTTCTATTTGCCCCTGCCTTTTTTGTTTAAAAATTATAACCACCATAGACTTTTTTCTGAAGCCCAAATCATTTCTTTAACTTGGACTCAAAATTTGAAATATATTTTGTCCACAAAATTGCAACCTAAGTTCTTATTTTTTACCCCTTTGTTGTTATTTTTGCTTTTCTTTGGCCTTTTTCCAACACCCTGTTCTTAAATGTGGAAAATGTTACCGTGAACATTACGTTGGAAATATGACTTCCTTATTCTTATGAGCATGTGAGCAAGCAACATTTGGGGTTTTCCCTTCTTACCGTGCATACAAGGATTTTATTTTCCCATGTTCATCCCCATACCAAGCAGTAGCAATTTGATTTGTTTCAAAGTTTTAACAAGTCTCTTGTTTCATTCTTGATAGCATATCCTCTATTTGGCAGAACACAAGACATCTTTCTCTCTGTTTTCTTTGGCAAGTTATTTTCTTATCTCAAATTCTTTTTATCCAGTTTGAGAGATTGGATTTGGTCCAGGAAATAAGAAGGATTCTATTTCCCTTCCATTAAGTATCTTGAAATTTATAAGCTAGGTTAAGAAGGCTGTAAGGATTTTATCTTCTTATATGTATAAAATGCATATGCTATATTAAAATGTCTATGAAGAGAAGTAAGAATAAGGCAGTTCTTAAATTTAATTTCTTCCATTTGACTTTCCGGCCGAAAATCTATTCTACTTTTATTTTCTTCTTTTTTCCTATGACCCTTTAAGGAAAAGTCCTCATTTTAACAGAAAACATTAGGGTAGCTTATTTATGGAAATGAGGGCATAATTTCAGAAGTATTCCCTGCCATTATCATTATACTTTGCAAATTTCTCTTTTGTTAATCCACTTTTCTTCACAAATATCACTGTTTACAGACTGTTACAAGTCCTTCGAAACACTCTGTTCTCCTTACTAATGTTAATAATTTAAAATGTAGTGACACCCATCATTGCAGAGGAATGTGGAGGTAGCCACACACAGGAATCAATTGCATTGAGCAGCCATTGTAGCTATAATTACCAGTACTGACTAGCTGCTTTACTTGGCAGAATGGAGTTTAGAGACAGAACCCCAGCAAACCTGGATACTGCAGGGGTAATGAATGTGATTTCTACCATGCAACCTCCAAGTTCCTTGGGTTTAAAATGCTCACGTTGTCTATGTTTAAGTAAATGTTGTTTATAACAATGTTTAAGAGAATTTGTCCTAGTACTTTCTCTCATTAAATGTTGCATGTTTTGTTTTTCACCAACTAAAATCTTAAAACGCAAGCTAGCAAACTATTTTCCCTTCCCTCTTCCTTTTATTTTTAGAGAGGGAGCCAGTAGGAGGGACACAGGGAGATGGAGAGAGAATCTTAAGCAGATTCCATACCCAGCACACAGCCCCACACATGGCTCTAATGTCAACCCTGAGATCGTGACTCCAGCCAAAATCAAGAGGCAGACACTAACTGAGCCACCTAGGCATCCTCCCCTCTTTCTCTTAAATTCATTTTGTGTCTAAGCCTCTCTGGAGCTTACCTTTCTAAGAAATAAATTTTATTTATAATTCTGATTTCTTACTGATGTTAGTAGAAAATATTTATGTTAGCAAATTGCAGTGATAGTCACTACCACTGTATGGCATAATCTCCAGATAGCTGATACGTACCTTTATTGAAGAAATTATATAAACATCTAAGTATGTTACAGTTCCCAGGGTGCTGCTTACTGGCTTTTTTCACCACTGCTCTTTAAAGTTAATGAATATTCAGTGGTTCTCAGTTTAATTATTTCAGACAAGAAGGGGAAAACATTGGTTCCTTTATTTAAATGTACTCGATGTCGATCTACCTTGATTGAATTAGTAAACACCTTGGATACTTGTGGTGCCGTGTATCCCCATTACCTCATTAAAATTATCCAGGTAAAGGATACAGTCTTCTCTATCATGTAATGTGTTGTTGTTGTTATACTGATTTTCTATTTCAATAATTTTTGTGTTTTTATCACTCTTCTACTTCAGGCTTCATAATTACTAGTTCTCTTCCCATTTCAGAGTGGAAGTCTAGGCTTGTTTATTTTTTTAATGAGATAATTGTTTCATGTCTTCCAGATTCTTTAATGACTCTAAAATCCCTCTCTGTACTATTTTCTAGGTAACCAAATGTATCAGGAATCGATTAGATGTATTTCTGTTGTTTTTATTAATCAGAGACCTCTCTCCCGGAGGCTTCCCCCATCCTGTGGGAATCTAGACTGTTTCTCTCTCTCTCTCTTTCTCTTTTAAAGATTTTCTTTATTTATTAGAGCACGAACAAGGAGAGGAGGGGCAGAGAGAGGGAGACTCCCACTGAGCAGGGAGCCCAATGTGGGGCTGGATTCCAGGACCCTGAGATCATGACCCGAGCCAAAGGCAGACGCTCACCTGACTGAGCCACCCGGGTGCCCTGTTGCTCTCTTGACTGCATACATGGTTGTTATCTGGGATTTCCCATCAACCCTTTTATGCGTTGGGCCCTCTGTTTCTGGATCCTACATCATCTACATTGGTTTAATTCCCTTATTTTGGTAGTGTACATCCATTAGTGATTTCCCTAGGAAAAAAAGTAGTAGAAAGTAAAATTTTTGGACACCTTGCATGTCAGATAATGTCTTATTCTAATCTCACCCTTGACTGATAGTTTAACAGGTTATAGGTTTCAGAATGAAAATCAGTTTTCTTCAAAATTTGAAGGTATTATTCCATTGGTTTCTAATGTTCAACATTGCCAGACAAATGTGGTGTTATTCTGATTCTGATCCTCGGTGCGTGATTTTTTATTATCTCCAGAAGCTTTAGAATCTTCTCTTTGCTCATGGAATTTTGAAATTTGATGTTGTATATTCGTGGCTTTTTAAAATAGATACATTCCTTGTACTAGGTGTTTCAAAGGCTTTTTCTATCTAAAAACTCATGTTCTTTGGTACTAAAAATTTTTCTTATGTTACTTTCTCATCATTTTCTACACTCAGTTTTTCTCTTCTCTTTTGGAATACCTGTTGGTCAAACATTAAACTTCCTAGTGCATTCCTTACACAACTAGAAACTACACACAAATTTCACTCTAGAATTGAACTCCAGTGAACTCTCACCTGTCATCATCTCTGGACACAGACACCATAAATCCACTTTTAACATTGGGAACAAGAAACTAGAATCTCTTCCAAGTTTCTAAAAGCCATATATTTCTTTTCTTTCTTTCTTTTTTTAAAGCTGTATATTTCTGCTGCCACCTTTGCCAGAGTGGATTCCTTGTGCCACCCCTTCTTTGTGCTTTCAAATCACATGGATTTGTCTGTTTAGAGAAAAGTCTCATACCTGTGCCCTAGCTGCAAGAGAGCCTGAGATGTCAGGTTGAACTTTAGATCTGCAGATTTATAAGGTCAAAAAGTCCCTAAATATAGGAAGAATATTTCTAGGCACTTATGAGCAAGTTGGTTCGGTTGGAGAGAAAGTGGCAATAGAC